GTGTGTGTGTGTGTGTGTGTGTGTGTGTAAAGATGGGTAAAGGCATCCACGTAAAATGTTCATAAATGGCCATTTGTTGCAGTTCAGGGTTATATATATATATGTGTGTGTGTGTGTGTGTGTGTGTGTATACATACTTTTGAAAAAATCAATTCCAGATGTGTGTGTGTGTATGTATGTATATATACTTTTGAAAAAATCATTTCAGACTGTAGGTAGCTCTTCCAAATGTATAAAACTGAGTTAATCAGTAGAATAGTATGACCTATAAGAAAGTTGGGAGGGGTGGAGGAAAAGCTGGAACAAGACAGTCTGGGAAGCACTTAGCTGTTCCAGAGTAAAAATGCAGAAGTTTAATATCATAGAACTATCCATTTGCATTGAATGTGTGTCCTTAAATTAATTAACACCATCTTTTTGTTTCTCTTCTAGAGGAGGCAGTTCTTTACTTTAACATTGGAAGTCTTAACAGCACTGGTGTTTCCGGTGATGATTTTGCTATTCCGTACACATATTGCTATAAAGGTTGTTGGACCTTACAATTATACTTCTCAGCCCATCAATACTTTGCCTTCTTTCATCAAAAATCCTGAAGAGTGGGAATTGATTTATGTGCCTTCTGACATTGATGTGGTACAGGAGATCACTGAGAATGTGAAGAGGTATCTGAACATCAATGTAAAAGGTTAGAAATTAAGGTTTTCTGTAACACTTACAAATTGCTTTTCAATGGAGGTAAAGCGGTGTTTTAAAAAAAGAACAAAATTAAAGGAGTCACAATTTTAAATTTTAATTTCCCAATTTTTAAACTTGCAATGTAACTCTTAAGACAGTGTGATATTGGTAGAGGGATAGACACATAGATCAGAGAAACAATACAGGCATACCACAGGGAGATATTGCAGGTTCAGTTTCAGACCACTGCAGTAAAGCAAATATCACATTAAAGCTAGTCAAATGAATTTTTTCATTTCCCAGTGCATATAAAAGTTATGTTTACACTATAATGTAGTCTGTTAAGTATGCAGTAGCATTATGTCTAAAAAAGCAATTCATACCTTAATTTAAAAATACTTTATTGCTAAAAAATCCTAACCATCATCTGAGCTTCCAGCGAGTCATAATCACTGATCACATAGCACCATACAAATATAATAATGAGGAAAAAGTTTGGAATATTGCAAGAATTACCAAAATGTGACATATAGATGAAATGAGCAAGTGCTGTTAGAAAATGGTATCAGTAGAGTTACTTGACTCAGGCTTGCCACAAACCTTCAATTTTTAAAAAACACAGTATCTGCAAAGTGCAATAAAACAGTGCAATAAAATACAGAGATAGAACTATACAAATATGCCAAAATATTGTTTACAATAGTGGAAGGATAAGTTTTTCAAAAAATAGTGCTAAACAATTGGACATCAGTAGCCAAAACAATGACACCTCACCTCTTAGGCAGAAAAAATACATCAAAATGGATCATGGATCTAAAAGTAAAATGATAAAACATTTAGGAGAGAACATAGGAGAAAATCTTTGTAACTTTATAAAGAGTTAGTTGAAGAATTCTTCAATACCATTCATAAAAGAAAAAAATGAAAAATTGGACTCCTGGTATATAATATTTATTATTGTTTGCTCTTTGGGTTAAAATATGCATACATAATTTTTTACAATCAACTTAGAACATTTTACTACTTTATTTTCATATCTACATAAGTTGAAAACTATACCAGAAAGTGTTATAATTTATGCACATATTTTAAAGAACTTAAGAAAACTATTTATCCAGATATCTACCATAGCTCTTGCTTGTAACTTCATTCTTTTTTTTTTTTTTTTATGTTCAGTTAGCCACCATATAGTACATCATTAGTTTTTGATGTAGTCACCCAGTGCTCATTACAACACGTGCCCTCCTTAATACGCATCACCCGGCCACCCCATCCCTCAACCCAACTTCCCTCTAAAACCCTCGGTTTGTTTCCCAGAGTCCATAGTCTCTCATGGTTTGTCTCCCTCTCTGATTTCCCCCCCTTCAGTTTTCCCTCCCTTCCCCTATGGTCTTCTGTGCTATTCCTTATGTTCCACATATGAGTGAAACCATATGATAATTGTCTTTCTCCACTTGACTTATTTCACTTAGCATAATCCCCTCCAGTTCCAGCCATATCAGTGCAAATGGTGGGTATTCATCCTTTCTGATGGCTGAGTAATATTCCATTGTATATATGAACCACATCTTCTTTATCCATTCATCTGTTGCAGGGCATCTTGGCTCTTTCCACAGTTTGACTTTTGCGGACATTGCTGCTATGAACATTGGGGTGCATGTGCCCCTTCTTTTCACTGCATCTGGTGTCTTTGGGGTAAATACCCGGTAGTGCAATTGCTGGGTCATAGGGTAGCTCTATTTTTAATGTCTTGAGGAACTTCCATACTGTTTTCCAAAGTGGCTGTACTAGCTTGTATTCCCACCAACAGTGTAAGAGGGTTCACCTTTCTCCACATCCTTGCCAACACTTGTTGTTTCCTGTGTTGTTAATTTTTGCCATTCTAATTGGTGTAAGGTGGTATATCTCAATGTGGTTTTGATTTAAATTTCCCTGATGTCTAGTGATGTTGAACATTTTTTCATGTGTCTGTTAGCCATTTGTATGTCTTCTTTGGAGAAGTGTCTGTTCATGTCTTCTGCCCATTTTTTGACTGGATTATTGGTTTTTTGGGTGTTGAGTTTGAGAAGTTCTTTATAGATCTTGGATACCAGCCTTTTATCTGTAGTGTCATTTGCAAATATCTTCTCCCATTCTGTGGGTTGCCTCTTAGTTTTGTTGACCGTTTCCTTTGCTGTGCAGAAGCTTTTTATCTTGATGAAGTCCCAAAAGTTCATTTTTGCTTTTGTTTCCCTTGCCTTTAGAGACAGGTCTTGAAAGAAGTTGCCGTGGCCAGTGTCAAAGAAGTTACCGCCTATGTTCTCCTCTAGGATTTTGATGGATTCCTGTCTCACATTGAGGTCTTTCATCCATTTTGAGTTTATCTTTATGTGTGGTATAAGAGAATGGTCCAGTTTCATTCTTCTGTATGTAGCTGTCCAATTTTCCCAGCACCATCTATTGAAGAGACTATTTCCATTGGATCTTTTTTCCTGCTTTGTCGAAGATTAGTTGGCCATAGAGTTGAGGGTCCATATCTGGGTTCTCTGTTCTATTTCATGGGTCTATATGTCTGTTTTTGTGCCAGTACCATGCTGTCTTGGTGATTGCTGCTTTGTAATATAGCTTGAAATCGGGCAACGTGATGCCCCCAGCTTTGTTTTTCTTTTTTAACATTTCCTTGGCGATTCGGGTCTTTTCTGATTCCATACAAATTTTAGGATTGTTTGTTCCAGCACTTTGAAAAATGTCATTGGAATTTTGATCAGGATGACATTGAAGGTATCAATTGCTCTGGGCAGCATAGACATTTTAACAATGTTTATTCTTCCGATCCATGAGCATGGAATATTTTTCCATCTTTTTGTGTCGTCTTCAATTTCTTTCATGAGTGTTTTGTAGTTCCTAGAGTATAGATCCTTTACCTCTTTGGTTAGGTTTATTCCGAGGTATCTTATGGTTTTTGGTGCTATTGTAAATGGAATTGTTCCTTTAATTTCTCTTTCTACAGTTGATACTTTATGTGGAAAACCCAAAATGCTCCACACCCAGATTACTAGAACTCATACAGCAATTCAGTAATGTGGCAGGATACAAAATCAATGCACAGAAATCAGTTGCTTTCTTATACATTAACAATGCAACTGTAGAAAGAGAAATTTTCCTTCTTTCTGAAGAACTTTAACAATTTTTTAGAGCAGGTCTACTGGCAATGAGTTCTCTTTGTTTTCCTTCATCTAAGAATGTCTTTAATTCATCTTCATTCCTGAAGATTATTTTCATTTGGTATAAAATTTTGGGTTGACAGTCTTCTCAACATTTAAAAAATATTTGTCAGTTTCTTCTGACCTCCTTGGTGTTTGAAAAGAATCTTGTTTTGAAAAGAATCCTTGTTTTCTTTATAGGTATTGTATCATTTCTCTCTAGCTGCTTTCAAGATATTTTCTGTCCTTATTTGTCAAAATTATGATTATATTATGTCCAAGTGTGGATTTCTTTTGGTTTATTCTGTTAGGGGTTTACTGAGCATTTTGAATCTGTAAGTTTCTATCTTTCACCAAATTGAGGAGTTTTTAACCATTATTTCTCAAAGTTGTATTGTCCCGTAAGTCATTAAGGATCTATTCGAGTTTTTTTTCCCATTTTTTTCCTCTCTTGTTCAGATTAGGTAATGTCTATTAATGTCTTTACTGACTCCTTCCTCTGTTATCTCTATACAGCTATTGAGCCATCAAATGTGTTGGTTTTCTTAAAAGCACAGTCTAAAGTGATCTCTACCTCCTGATTTATCTTGTTTTGAGACAGCTTTTTGTGGGCCCCTGGCTGGCTCAGTTGGTAGAGCCTGTGACTCTTGCTCTCAGGGTTGTGAGTTCAAGCCCCACATTGGGCTTGCTTAAAAAAAAAAAACTGTAAAAACTGTAAAACAGCTTTTTGAGATCTAAGGCACCTACCATATATTCACCCATTTAAAGCATACAATTCAGTGGCTTTAAGTATATTCACAGAGTTGTGTATTCATTACCACAATCAATTTTAGGGCATTTTCATCACCAAAAATAAACCCTGTAACCTTTAGCCATGACTCTATAATTTCCAATCCCACCAAGATTAGGAAAACACTAAACTACTTTCTGTCTCTATAGATTTGCCTATCTTTTATGTAGATGGCATATATATAAACCTTTCATTTAAATTTTATATACATGGAAGATGTGGTCTTTTGTGACTGGCTTTTTTCACTTAGCATAATGTTTTCAAGGTTCATCTATGTTGTAGTTTGAATCAATACTTCATTCCTTTTCATTGTCAGGTAGTAGCCCATTGTATGGATTTACTGCATTCACTTGGTATATCCTTCATCAGTTGATGGACATTTGGGTTGTTTCCACCTTTTGGCTGTTATAAACCAACTGCTATGAACATTCATCTCTAAGTTTTATGTAGACATATGTTTTCATTTCTTTTGGGTATATACCTAAGAGTGGAATGAATATGTCATGTGGTAACTATGTTTAACTTTTTGAGGGGCTACCAAAAGTTGTTATCTAAAGTTGTTTTACTATTTTATATTCTGATCAGCATTGTATGAAGTTTCCAGTTTTTCCGTATTCTCACCAGCACTTGTTATCATCTGTCTTTTTGATTATAACTATCTCAGTGGATGTGAATTGGTATCTCATTGTGATTTTGATTTGCATTTTCCTTATGACTAATGACTTGTCTTTATGTATATTTTATAGTGATTGTTATTTAAAATTGGAGTAAAGTTTTATGCCTGAAATTGTTTTGAACTCCCAATATCCATTAAGTAGTTGTGATACCAATATTTGAAAAACAGTGTTTTTAAGTTTACAATATTGGGATAGCTTTTATCCATGTATCTCCCCTCAGGAGGAATTATCAGATATTCCCATTATAGTGAACAATTTATCCTCTTTACAGTTCGAGGGTTTGCTTCAGAAATGGAGCTTGAGACGTACATTAAGTATGACTATGGATCGAGTAAAGTACTGGCTGCCATCATTTTTGACTGTAACTTCAAAAGCAGCAGTGACCCTCTGCCACTTCAGGTGAGAATGTTTTATTTGGAGTTTTCTAAATACATAGTCTTCTAGTAGTTGCACTTCCAGTTTCTAGGATTTTAATGATGTGCTATTACAAACCCAATTTTATGGATGAGGCAACCAATTTTCCCAAAATCAAACTACTAGTATACAATAGAGCAAGAATGTGAATCCAGATCTGAGTAACTGATTACTGGGCTGTTAATTGTTACATTATGGTAAGGAAAGAACTGCACACACAAGGCCTTAGACCCATTAGAAACTTTGACTACTCAGGCATTGCTTCTAGTTCTACAGAGAAGAGAAACAAGCTACAGAGCAGATGCATTTTCACTAACAAGGAACCAAGCATGTAAAAAAAAATCCTTCTTTGAATAAAACACAGAATTTAAGTCCTTTCATAAATGACTAGAAAAACTCTAGGGCTCAGCCACATTGATTCGGAACTAGGACATCCATAAGCACTGAGAAAGGATCTGATTATAGCACAGCCCATGGGAAGGAGAAAGAAAGACAGTGCCTTGAACTTGGTGTCTGCTTAGCAGATCTTGTTAGGCATTCTATCTTGGTGGTGATAGAAATAAATGATCAATCTATAATATCTAGACATGGAGCCAAGTTCTATGTTTATAATGCAGACACATGTTAGTAGAAGGCAAAATTAATAAAACCCCTGGTAGGATAATATATATTCTCTCTGTATGTCCCATCCTTCCATGAGTCCATGCTTCTGTACCAACTTCCTTCCATTTACTGTCAGAATTATCCATATGCTGATAATGGATTTAGGCTGAACAGTATGCATTGGCTCAAGTGTGTTAAGTGCCATTTCAAGTTTTATTATAATTACTAATTGACTGTGCTTGTGCCCTCAAATATTTGTACTAGATTCCAGCCACTACCTGTATGCTAAACTGAAATAGGCTCACTGCTTGATGTAATGAAAGATTTAAATAGGATCTGTCTCCCAACATAATTGACAAAATGAACAGGATAAAATAGAAAATTATCTGTCACACAAAGATCCAAGAAAACCACAGTTATGGGGGGGTTCTGATTCATTTATTTACAGAATAATATTACATTATATAAAGAGATCACAATTATCAGTTCTGCTACCAGACACTTGGGATGTTTACAGCTTTTTTTTTTTTTCTTTTTTGCTAGTGAAACAGTGCTACTGTGAACATTAGATACTCTGGATATATGCCTGGATGTAGAATTTCTGGGGCATGCTCACATCTTAAAATTTATTACATAATGCCAAATTGTTTTCTGAAGTGATGATACCAATTCAGACTCCCAGCAACAGTGTCTGAAAGTTCTCTTTATTAAACTTAATATTTTCAGATGTTTACATTCACTAATTCCACAGATATGAATTAGCTAATTCCATAGGTGTGAAGTGGTATGCAACTTTGGCTTTAATTTCCATTTCCTTGGTTCCTAATGAGATTTACATATGTCCATGTTTTAAGTGATGAATTATTCTTTAGTGAGGTATACATTTGGTCTTTTCCCCCAATTTTCTATGGAAAAATCCATTTTACATATTAATTGACCAATTTCTTTGTCTATCCTACATAGGGATCCCTTGTCTCTCATATGTATTACAAGTATATTTTTCCAGTTTGTGGCTTTTCTTTCAGTTTTTTTGTCGTGATCAGATTTTCTTTTGATGATTAGATTATTTTAAAGCAGCCAGGTCTTTAATTCTTTTTCTGTATTCTTTTTTAAAAGGTTTTATTTTAATTCCAATTAGTTAACATACAGTGCTATATTACTGTCAGATGTACAATATAGTGATTCAGTAATTCTATACATTACTCAGTGCTCTTCATGACAAGTGCACTCTTTAATCCTCATCACCTATTTCATTCATTCCCCTTCCCACCCCCCCTCTGGTAACATCAGTTTGTTCTCTATAACTAAGACTCTATTTCTTTTTTCTTTTTATTTCTTTTTTTTTTTAAAGATTTTATTTATTTATTTGAGAGAGAGAGAATGAGAGAGAGCAA